TCTCTATTAATCACCACAGAGATCCTTCCCTGCACTCCATTAGAATGTCTGACGTTCAACTTCTCGAGAGCACCTCTCTGCGGCTGCTCGGTCTCACGTTGACTGCTGACCTGAGATGGAGAAATACATTGAGTCAATTGCTTCGTCCACCGCAACGAAAGTTAGCTCCCTGTCCCGCGCCAGGAAATGTTTCTCCCCGGAATCGATCCTCCAGATCTACAAATCAACAATTTGCCCTTGCATGGAGTATTTCTGCCATATATGGTCTGGAGCCCCTTCTGTTTGCTTTGGGGTTCTTGTTAGACTCCAGAGGCGGATATGCAATATAATTGGCCCTGTTCTGGCATCTCGTCTACAGTCACTCTCTCACAGACGCGCCATCGCCTCTCTCTGTCTTTTTTTTACAAATACTTTCATGGCAATTGCTCCGAGGAGCTGCATTCGCTGGTTCCCAGACTTCATGAGTTCAAGCGCCCTACGAGGCTGGCATCCCGCTCTCACCCCTTCACTGTTGAAACTCCTAAATGTAGCCGTCTCTTCTACTCCAATAGCTTCATGTCTCGCACCTCTCGCCTGTGGAACTCCCTTCCCTATTCCAGTTTCCCTGAGAGCTATAATCTCCAGCTATTCAAATGTAATGTCAATCGACATCTCCAGTTGCCTTGATCTATCCACTACCCTTCTCCTCATCCTTTCTTCTATCACTCCTATCTGATCTTGCTCCAAATTTTCTGTAACCCCTTGCGTCCTAGTGGCTTCCCGCCTTGCTTGGGGTGAAACGCTTAAAAAAACATCTTTTTTAAAAGTATAGCTGAAAGTACTATATATATTAAATATGACATTTGAATAAATAAGGACATCTAGAAAAAAAAAATTTGTTCAAACAATTTTTTCTCAATTAAATAAAAAATTAATCGTATATATTGTCTATATTTTAATAAAACATAATTCTGTAATAAATATATATATATATATATATATTTAAAAAAAAAAAAATTTTATGTAATCTGCCATTCTTTATTGATATTTTATTTTTTAAAAAATAGTGCTTTTTTAATTCATTTTATTATAAACAATTTAAAATTGGTTTTTAAAAACATATATAATATATTTTTCTTTTTGTGCAAAAAAATATTTTAAATATCCTATTTATATATATATATATATATATATATATATATATATATATTTTTATTTATAATTTTATATCTTTATTATAAATAATTAAATATTATTATTAAAAAGTATTCAATAAAAATATAAAGATATAATTATTATTTAAAAAAATTATAACATAAATATGTTATAAAATCACTACAAAAAATAGCCATTTTTTTTCAACAAAATTGGTGTCATTCATGATGATGTTGAAAAATAAAATAAATGGTTTTAAAAAAATCAAATTAATTAACAATTCTTAAAATATAAAACATTGTTACAAAGCTAGAATAACCAATCAAAAAAAATCATATAGAAAAATTCAAAAATTTTTTGACAATTTAATCATGTTATAATAGCTATTCAGATCTTTAAAAATATGAGTAATATTAAAAATAATTTATACTAACCAATAATTATAAAATTATATGATAAAATTTAAAATTAAAAAAAAAAAAATAAAATTTTTTTAATCCAAATTTAATCACTATTAATATTTAAAAACTATAAAATTATTGAGAAAAAAAAAAAATATTATATTTATTCAATTTATTTTTTCATTGAATTTATTTTGGAAAACACTATCAATATCTTCAAAAATTTGATTTCATATATATATATTTTTTTATTCTAAAGTTTTTAAAAATTTTATTTAAATTTTTAAACTCATTTTCTACAAAAAAAACACAATCAGATTATAATACATTCAAAAATCCATTTATATTTAGATATATATATAAAACAAAAAAAAACGAGACAATAACATCTCTTTTTTATTTTATGAAAAAAAATTAAAAAAACTAAAATACCTATTTTTTTTTTATTTTTTCCAATGAAAATGTACTCTAATTTATAAAATAGACACATATAAAATATATACAAACATATAATTCACATAAATATATATTTTTCAGATAATCAAACAAATATAAATATTTAAGAAAAAATGAATATATTTATTTATCATTAAATAAATGCTAACCAACCTTAAATTATAACTTAAATTGAAAGTGAATATATAAAATAAAAATGGTTAAAAAATATTATTTAATATATTAAAATAAAAATTCAAAAAATTTATAAATATCAATAAAAATATATTTTTTAATCATATATATATTTATAATTATTTCATTATATATTATTTGTGTTAACAGGAAAAATAAATCTGTATAAAAATAAATGTATATCAATATATATATATATATATATATATATATTCAGGATATCAAATATAAATTAACACATATATATAAACAACATACATGTATATATATATATATATATTCATATATATAAATATATAAATGAAACATATATTTTTTTATTAATATCTATGATAAAAAGATAACATACCCATAATATATATATAAATATATATATATTGTGTATACACATTTTTAATTTTTAACATTATATACATATATATGATATATATATATATAAATACATTTAAATGTAAAAATATATATATATATGAATTTCAATTAAGTGGCAGTAATTATATACCAAAGTTTTTTTATTACACAATACACACAAACAAACTCATGCATAAATAAAAGTATACACACATATACATCCACAAACATACATAAATATATATATCATACATACATATTCTACATATAAACATATATATAAATATATCTATCTATATTTTAACAAGTATAAAATATATACATGCATACATATAAATACAACATTTCAATTGAATACATATATTTTTTTATTTTTAAATATTTATACATATATACATCCAAATACATTCACACATAATATACATATTTAAACATTTGTTTTATATTAAAACATTCATATAAATTAAAATATACGGAAATATAAATTTACATATACAATAAAATAATAACACACATATATATAAATATATATATATATATATATATATATATATATATATATATATATATATATAAACATATAATAAATTTAATATATATATATATATTTATATAATATATTAAAAAAATTTTGGCAAATTTAAATTATTAGAATTTATAAAACTTCTAAATTCTTATACTCATATAAATTGTCCTTTAATTAATTTATGATATATAATATATTTATTTAAATTTATATAAATATTTTTTCTATATATATATTATTTGTATATATATATACAGTATATATATATATATATATATATATATATATATATATATATATATATATATATATTTATATATATATATATATATATATATAAATATAATATAAATATATATATATATATATATATATATATATATATATATATATATATATATATATATATATACATATATATATATATAAATATATAAATATATATATATATACACATTTCACATACATATATATATATAAACATTTCAATATATACAAATTTATTTTAAATTTTTAACTAAAAAAAATATGAGACCTAATATATATATATATATATATATTGACACACACACACACACACACACACACACATTTAAAAATATATATATATATATATATATAATATATATAAAAAAAAAAAAAAAAAATAAATATTCTTATATTGAAACTTGACAATTCCTCAGTGCAAATTAAATGGAAATAACAACACATAAATTAATATAAAGGTTTTACATTAACACTAATAACACTATGCAGGTAAACAATACACATTTATATCGTAAGTATGACCATCATGCAATAAAAAATAACTAATCTATTTTGATTACAGCGAAAAATCATTATCATTTAAAATTAAAAAAAATTAAAAAGTTAAATTTATAACTTGTTTATATTGAAACTGTTAATAAATCTTTTTTTATAGATCAGCCTTTTTTTTAAAATACAAAAATGTTAGACAAGTTTTTTTCTAGATGTCACCCCTTCATCTTGCTAACAAAACTTTCCAACCATATGTGAAGGTTAAATTCCAAATCAATATACAGAGCAAAATTCCAACCATTTCCCCTTAGTTATCAAACACATTTTATTTTCCATTGGATTTTAGAATTAGTGTTTATTTATAACAAGGATTTTTTTCTAAAACATCGTTTTTTACAATTCTTTTTTAATTAAAAAATAAAAATATAAAAAATACCATTATTCAATATAAAAATGCTTTAATTTCAAAAATGTTATAAAAAAAGAAGATCTAGAAAGAAATTTTTGTAATCAAACCCCTGAATTCTGTTTAATAATAAAAAGTAATGCATTCATGTTACTATTTAAATAATCAATATTGCTCAATGTCAAAGACCCTATATTTTTCAAAATAAGTCTCAAAGATTTACTTGTGTCCTAAAGACCAAAGGTATTTTTATTTTATTTAAAATTTTTCAAGTCAAAGTTGGGGTACATCACTGATGCCATAATGCATTCTTCACATCTACTAGTCTGTGCACTCTGGGACCAAGCAGTTAAAAGCACACGGGATCAGACATGGTTTATACTACAAAGGAGCACACAGGTTTGAATTCTGTTAGAGACCACATTTTCTCTTTATTAAGTTTTCTCATTTGTGCAGTCCAATAGATATAAGACACACAGTTTAAAAAACAGAGCATCTATTCAAACAACAGATATCCACCAAAAAAAATATTTGAAGAAATAGAAATTTCAGATTAAAAATAAATCCATTTATTCTTTAGAAATTCTTCATTGTCTTTACAAACTTTGGCAAAATATTTGACTAAAATCATTTTACGTAACTGTTTTTCATAAAATCTCTCTTTTCAGATGCACACAGAAAATGTTTTTCTTTTTGTTTTTAAGAAAAACTAACTACTGTTCTTTTATGCTATTTGTCAGAATATTCACTGAACCTCTACTACTCAAGTGAGCAGCTGGACTATGCTCTGGTTATGCACTCAATCAACCTGTTAGGTCGGCTTTTAATGTTTAAAAGTGGACGCAAAATTTTCCCTGTTCATATGCTTGATATGCTTGGTAAGTATGAGTTACATCTGTCCAACTTTTGCCCAAAAAATTCAATTGCTTATCCAGCGCCCTATTCTTCTATTTTATTCTGATTTCATCACCAAGTTTCTTCATAGAATAATTTCTCGAAACTCAAATGAGATCTTCGTTTTCTCTTATTCTTTTAAGAAAACATATCTCCATATGTGTAAATATATGTATATCTTTACAAATAAAGTCATGTATATTATATGTTATAATGACTAGCAAGTAAAATTGAATGAAATTCAACGGATTGGAAAATATATAAGACAATTCAGAAACAATTTTAATTTGACTTTTTTGCCAGTAATGTCATCATCAGAAAAACAATGTTATTTGAATGGCCAAAAATCTTCATTGTGAAAACAAAACATGTTTTATATTAAGCCTCTAAACATTTTTTATTTTAACTATATTGTTATAGAAATTATATTTTAATTAATTTAATTCAGTTTTTTTAATCCCACATTGTTTTTAGTATTAATTTATTAAGAGGATATATATATATATATTGAAATAACCTAGTTATATCTTAATCATAAAGGACTACATAAATTATAGAATTTTCAATGCATCTTCATCTGAATAAATTATACTGTTTTTTTTATAATGTGGTCTTTCAGGTGTTTTACTTAACTTTAATTTCTGTTAATGTTGAAATTAATTAAATTTAGCCTAAGTTCAGTAGGTACAAAGTTTGTATGTGATAAAGTTTGCCAAGTGTTTATATTTTCTTTATTTTTGATTTTCTTGATTTCATTTTCTTTTCTCATAGTGTTTTAACTTAGGATATTGGAGGATTTTAAAAATATTTTCAATCTATTTTTCTTCTTCATGGCTCCAAATTCTAAGTGCTTTAAAATATGAACTTATGATTATTTCAGATTTTATCTTATTGTGATATGAGTAAAACTTTGAGGTCATGTTTAATTTTAAAGGGTATCACTTCAAATTAACAAAATATGAAGATAAATTAATTTTTCTTTTTCACATGTGAATTGTAGGATCAATTTCATTTTGTTTACTTATGAGATTAGTAATTTAGTTTTGTTAAGTTATACAGAGTGCAATGGATAAAATGTCTAAATTATACAAAAATGAAAATAACTCTGACATCACATTTTAACAGATATATTTACCAAAATTAGGCAAAAATATCTTGAAATACTGAAGAGTAAATTTATTCAATAAAATCACCCTTGGCTTCAATCACGGCCTTCAGGCAACATTGGGATCTCTTGTAACTCTTCTGGAGTGTCTCCTTTTTTATGTTAGTGAATGTTGCCATAATCCTTGCCTTCAGTTCATCTTTGGTGTTTTTTTAGTCTCTCACTCAACTGCACCCCACACATAATAATCAAGATGGTTGCAGTCTGGGGAGTTAGATGGCCAGATGTAAGGGGTGATGTGGTCACAGAAATTGTCTGACAGCTGTGACTGAGTTCTCCTGCTTGTGTGATATGGTATAGAGTCCTGCTGCCAGACATAGGTTCTTCATGTAGCCACCCTCTTGACCCAGGGCAGCACTATCTCCTCAAGGCACTTGATGTAGGCCTCCATGTTGAGTTTGAGGCTCTGTGGCAAAATGAATGGAGGCATAATGTGCCATCACTTGTGATCATTTCAAACACATTTGTAATCACCATTTGCTTCATGGAGCTCTTTTTCTCACAGTTGGTGTCCAACTGACCCTAGTATACTGTGTATTCAATAATATTAAAAATCAAACAAAGCACATGCACAAAATTAAAAATATAAAATGGCTACAATTTACCTATTGCACACTGTATTAAAAATATATCAATTACATTGCAAAAGTAAAAATTTTAGGTTGATTTGCAATGGGCCAAATTCTCAGAAAAATCATGTAAAAACACTAATGAAAGGATAACCCATAGGAAGGCTGAAATTTTGATTGCAAAAGCTATTACTGAATGCAAAAAAAAGCATTGGTTTGTACAAAAAGTGCATATGTATATGACTTGGTTAATTAAATTTAATTTTTAATTTTACTCAGTTGTGCCTTGAAAACGTTTTTAAATGTAACTACTATACTATAATAAAGAAATTTCTGGTTACTTGAACTCTCATGTTTATCTTTCATTCAGTGTCACTTTTGGTTCAAAAAGTAATTCAGAAAAAGCTTAGTATTTGAACATTTTCTGTTATGCCTTAAAGAAGCAGCAGTTTTTATTGGATATATTCAAGAAGCATATTGAAATATATGACAATATTTTGTTTGGCATAGAGTTGTTGGATTCTTCTTTCTCTTTGGGGGTCACTTTCTGGGTTAACTCTGGAGTTTATGTACTACTCTAAGAAGCATCAAATGTGTCAATGTTTTGCTATTCTGGAATGTGTCCTTATTATGTCATTTGTTCAAGTTTTTTAACTTCCAAAACCACATAGGGTTCTGCCTTGTTTCTTGAGGGTGTTGATGACGTCCATGATGGTGACAATTTTCCCAAGTGTAGGTGACAGTATCACAGAAAATATTCTCAATGAGAACTTTTACAGCACTTTGGGTGTTAGATGAGGTCAAGAACATATTTCATACTACCCATGTAGGCAAAATGACCAATAGCTGGCTTGGTGACACCATGGGCATTATCATTGAGCTCCTTATGATGACATCTAGCACTACTCTTTTGCAATCCTTTTCTTTCTTTGCCATGGTCAGACATAATGATCAACTCAAAATTATGACAAAAATTATATTTCCTTAAATAAAGCTACACCCCAAGCCACGGCCTTTAGCTAATAGTGAGAGAGCAATTGAGTTCCCTGATCAGAATAACTGAATCAAACATCTGAAGTAGCTTCTAAATACAAACTAGAAATTAAACTTATGCTGTGTTATCTATGTACTGATTGATTAATGAAATGTGTGCATTAGTGTTTATTGATTAACAACAAAGCTGTCTTTTTAATTAAGTTGCCTAATAATTGCTTCTCAGCATCAAACTTTTAGTTACAGCTGGAAGTTATTTGTAATTTTATTTGTTTATATATATATATATATATATATATATATATATATTTATCTCTCTCTCTCTCTCTCTATATATATATATATATATATATATATATATATATATAGATATAGAGAGAGAGAGAGAATTTAAAAAGTAGTAAGTGACTGCAGTACAAACCCCAGAAAGATTTCAAAGATTTCTTATCAGACTCACTTCAAAAAGTATGTAATAATAAAGTTATTTTATTGTATTTACTCTATTCCCAACACTGATTTATTTACTTGTCCATACAGGCTGCGATGAATAAATTGATGCCTAAATTACTCAAAAATGAAAATAACACTGACATCTCATTTTAAGAGATATATTTACCAAAATTGCACAAAAATATCTTTAAATACTAAAGAGTAAATTTATTCAATAAAATTGCCATTGTCTTCAACCATGGCCTCCAGACAACTTCAGAATCTCCTGCAATACTTCTGGACTGTCTCTTTGTTTAAGTTGGTGAATGCTACTATAATCTTTCCCTTCAGTTCATTTTTGGTGTTACAAAGATTTTTGCTGGTCTGTCATTCAACTGGACTCCACACAAATTGACCAAAGGAGTTGCAGTCTGAGAAGTTAGGTGGCCAGGTATAAGAGGTGATGGAGTCACAAAAATTGTCTGACTGCTGTGACTGGGTTCTCTTCCTTGTGTGGCATAGTGCAGAATCTTGTTGCCAGACATAGGGTCTTCCAGTAACCACCCTCTTGACCCAGAGCAGCACTACTTCCTTAAGACACTTGATGTAGGCTTCCATGTTGAGTCTGAGGCCCTGTGGGAAGATGAATAAAGGTATAACATCACCATCACTTGTAATCACCCCAAGCACCTTCATAATTAGACTCATCTAGCTCTTTCTGCATTCTCTGCACTGTCCTCAGGTCGACAGCCAAACACTCCAAAATGTTCGTATTGGAGATTCCGGTGCAAATGCCAAGCAGTGCAGCATGCATTTTTCAACTTTCTGGTGGAGTGAATTGCATCATGGTGCTCTTTTTCACACCGTTGGTGCTTAACTGACCCTACTATATTATGCAGTTGACACAATTAAAAACAAACACTGCACAAGCCTGAAATTAAAAATATAAAATGTCAACAATTTACAGGAAAAGTTAATCAGTATATTGTTCACACAAGTTATTTCAACTCTTTTGGTTGATAACAACATTGTTATAAATATTTGTACATTACTTCACTGGTATCTTTTTTCTCCAATAAAACTTCTCAATTTCTTTCTAACATGTTCTTATACCTTTTGATGTTTTGCCACTCAGCTTAGACTATTTACATTGCTACTGTTTAAAAAGTAAGTAAACATTATTTTCTAATTATAAAAATTATAGCATTGCATATTCAGGTCTGTTTTTATCTCTGGAAGTTTGTAATTGATACATATGTAAGTAGGAGAATGCCTGTATATTCACTCAAATTCTTCCATCTGTATGTCTAAATTCGAGTTTGTCTGTAATTGTATTGGATTTTTTTTGTAGTTGCTGTCAGTGTACCTCAGCTGTTGATTTCACTTTGCACCCTCATCATCAGTTCAACATCTTTACCCTACAACCTTGATTGTGGTATGCAGATTTAACAAATTTTGAACTTTTTTCACTACCTTCAATGTACTTTACCCCACCACCTACTCACCAAATATATCATTACCTACTTACCACCAATTCCTTTTGCCTTGAATCTCTCAGTTTGCATTCTGAATCCTTTTTTCAATTGCCTCACAACTTGATGGATCATCTTCAGTGATTTGAAAGCTATACTAAACTTGTTGATCTTTATTCGAAACCTCAGAGTTTTTCTTCTCTGAAGTTTCCTGTTTTTAAAATATTAGCTTTTCACTAATGTTAGCACAAGGATGAATTATATATAATATTTCTTGTATCTAAGCACTATAAATCAATTTCTTCATGATTTTCAGTAAATGCATACAGATTAGTGAAATTTTAGGTAAACAATTGCAGAATGTCCTAGTTAACTCATCAGCATCCACATTTAAGTATTAATATTGCTCTAGTAATTTTCATCCATTAATTTTGAGATCTCACCAACAACACTCACCAACAAGAGTTTATTACAAATTCTTTTTTGAGGGGAACCAAAATGTTCCCTTTGTATTTTTTAAACATCACAGGGATACTCTAAATATATCAAATAAGCATTGTAAGACATTTGAAAATACTTGCATATATGAATCACTATGATGTTTTAGTGCTTCATGATTTCATTTAATGGACTTCATTTCCATCTGTGATTCTCTGTTCAAATGCAACAAAATCCTATTTTTGAAAAAAAAGAATTACAGGCAATGAAAAATAGGTTGTTTAAAACAATGTGGAGGGAAATAGGTCCTGGGAAAATAAAATGAGCTACCATTAACCTCCCCAGAAGCCAAAGGATGTGATCCTATATATCTATTGGAATTAAAAAAAAGCATTGTACACTACAATTTCATTCCACAAAATCAGATCTTGTATTCAGGAAATTACTGTTCTCAACTTATTGAAAGCAGTAATCAATGAAAAACACCCAAAATTAGCCAATCAGAAGTGTATCATCTTTCATCTGAATAATGTCAGACATGTCTTTACAGATCCAATAGAAATTATTACAGCTTCACTGGGACATACTTCTACTACATCCACCATCTTCCAATGACCTTCAGATTATCACTGATCTCAATGCCTACAAAATAATGGGAAGTACTTCAATTCGCTGGAAGCCTGTAAAGCTTGCTTAGACTTATTCATCACTTACAAAAATGCCAAGTTCTGGGAGGATGCGATCATAAAGCTGCTTTGAAGATAAATGAAACATAGTGGAATAAAATGGTACATATGTGGCTGAGTAAATCTATCAGCAAATATCAATTGTCTTTGAAATTCACTTAAAAAACACTAAAAACTTTTGTTTCAACTCAATATTTTCCATAAATCATTGCTGATATTTAAAATTGCTTGTACTCAGCTAAAGATCTCCACTAGATTTTGCAGTTGTACATTATTACTTTCCTCAATAACATAGATTTAATGATGATGAAAAATGGCTTAGCTATATGAGAGAGATTTAAGAGATTTAAAAAAATCCTGAGCAGAATTGATCAGTATTAAGCCTCTGGTAAGATGTAAATTTGCCTCCCTTTTTATTAGAAGCATACCTTTCTGTAGCAACATTTTTATTTTAATCATTTCAACACAAGCAAGGCAATAAAGCCACTAATATGCAAGAGGTTACTAAGTGTGAAAAATAAAAAAAATCATTATTAAAAAGAAAGAACAATAAAAGAACAGTAATTTAAAAGACAGAAGATAACAATTGACATTGCATTTAAATTTTTGAAGATCAAAGTTGAGCAAAAAACGAGAAGCCAGAAAAGCGTTCCACAAGAAAGAAGAGTGAGAAAAGAAACTTTTAGCATAAATCATACCCTTAGCTATTTCAAGTATAATATAAGTAAACCTTGCCACCAATCTAGGACTGCACCTAAATTCATAAAGTCAAAGAACGTTCATCAGAATAATTACCATAAAAATATTTATAGAAAAGGCACTGGGAAGCTATATTATGGTAGTGGGAATGTGACTGAAGCCAAGATGCCAGGTCAAGACCGATGACTTTGCAGATTCTTCTTTATATTTTAGCCACTATCTGTAAATACATAGCAGCAACATCAGATCAGATGCAGTGTTAGTCAATGCATGGATGAATGGTAGACTTATAAATATGTAAGATAGATTTAAGAGAGAAAAATTGTCTAGCATGATACAGTAAACCTAGCAGTTGATTCAATATAATTTTTCCACTTCATGTTGTCGGCAGAAAATGTTAGTGCAAGAAGGTACAATGAATTACTGTCCTTGTAGTTAGCATCAGTCATGTTGATGAAAGGCAAAAGGGGTTCTCTCAGATGATTAAAAGTGAGCAGTTTTATTTTGCAGGTATCAAGATTAACAAGCCATTCCTTGCTCCAGTTAACAACAGATTGTAGGTCATTCTTGAGATCAGCTGCTAATTTGATCTTATTAATCTGATCAGACTTACTATTAAAACATGAGTAAATGCTTGTGTCATCAGCATAGATACAGGGTTTAAAACTGATGACATCAAGAAGATCATTTATGAAAATTAGGAACAATGTAGGTCCAAGGATAGAACCCTGGAGGACAACTGCATTAATGCAAAATGATCTAGAAGAGTGGTCATTCAAAACAACTGTCATTTCACAATTTGTTAAGAAATTTTGAATCAGGTCAAAAATTTGTAAAGAAGACCAATATACCAAACACTGTCAAATGCCTGCATGATATTTAAAGTAATAGACTGAGTTTCACCATTCTTATCTAAAGCTTGATAGACTCTTTCAACAATAATCGTTAATACATCAGCAGTTGACCTAGAGAAATGAAAGCCATATTACTTATCTGAAAAAAGATCCCGTGAGGTGAGATGCCTAACCAATTGCAAGTTGATTATTGCCTCTGTTACTTTGCCAAAAAGAGGCTGATTGCTAATAGGCCAATAAAAGGATCAGTTCTTAAAGAACGGGACTACAATAGAGGATTTCCAACAGGAAAGCAAGAAGTAGCAAGGTATGTATTGTAGAGGTTAGAGAGAACAGGAGTCAAGCACATTTCTTAAGGACTATTGTAGGTGTAACATTAAGTTCACATGCTTTGTGGGGATCCAGTTTTGAGATGTTAGCAGAAACCATAGACAGAATTATATGCATAACATTCAATAGAGACACAGTTCTAAGAGGAAAGTCAGGCAAAGATATTCTAGATAAGTCAAGAGTAGAATTTGAAGAGAATTTACAAGCAAAACATTTTGCTTTAGCAGTGGCAGATTATATATACAGAGATTAAAAACTGCAGAACATAGATATAGCAGTTATGCACAGAATGATAACAGCAAGACTGAAAATGTACTCTTTTGTGGAATGTAGAAAATGTAAAATGATGTTTACATGGCTAAACAAGTGAAATATATTTTGAATAATAGAACACATAAGTCATGAGATACCCTTCACAAAATCTCAACTTGAATCCTATCAAGGCTATATAATTGGAGATATGGTTAGAGAACAAAACCCATTTCTCAAGATCTGTGCAAGAATTTTATCATTTCCTTTTGGCATTGATATACTGAACTTATTGCTAATAAAGGTCTCTATACTGATTGTTTTAAGTTATTAACACATGTCAATGTTTATTTTGTAAACTTTCTCATTAAAAATATGCATTTCTTTTCATTTGTCTCTGTGATTCTCTTATTCTTTCTCCATGTATTTTTTTCTTGAATAATATTTTTCTATAACCTCCTTGAATAAAAACTTTTTTGGAAATTAAGTATATATCAAGGGCTACAATTCCTATAAATTTCAAATCTTGTGATAATTAATAAACAACTACATTTGAATAAATTAATCTCTTATTGTCACCTGTACTGTTTGAAGGCTTTGATAAAGCAAAAAAATTCTACTTTGCTCTATAATATACTTATTTAAATAGAGGAAAGAATTCTTCATGTTTCCAGTAATATCCATATCACATATTAATTTGATATTAAAAGAAATTTAAACAATAAGTTATAAAGCCACATTATTTTCTAAATCATGATATGTATTTTTTTTTCACTTTTAGCTGAGTATCTGAACCCAGCTAGCCTAGCTACTGAAGTGATGAATAACCTTTGCAGTAAAGAAGATGTTTGTTCCATTTGTCTGTGTAAAGATACAGTAACAGAGACTCTGATGCTTCCCATTACACAATGGCTTGATTCTTACAAGGTCAGTGATTCTCTTTATTGTCTTTTTCCCCTTTTGTTTTGGCATATTGTTACAAAGTTGACTTTAAAGATAGAAAAATTCCATCACAATTTCCTCCAAGTAAATGTTACTTGGTTTCTGGCTAAATAAAAAAGAGTTTCCTGAGACAGAACTCAATTTCATTGAGTACAAGGTGATTACAAAGAAAATACACTATTTCAAAAATATATTAAACCAAAACTATTTAAGATATTGACACCAAGTTGCACAGTTTTGGGGAGAAATTCCTGGTGTTTATGAGAGCAATAGAATATAAACATTGCACATTTGACAGTGAACTTTTGGCAGCAAAAAATTTTCTATTTTCAAGGGAAAAGATTTTATGAGGATCACTGTGGATAAAATTCACCTGTTTGTCAGGTAAATCTGTAAATAACTGAGTCATTCAACAATTTTTAAATAAACAAAAAAAGTAAGGTAATTGTTGTTTTCTAGTAACATTATTCAAACTGTAGGTGTTTTAAGATTTATCACTCTTGATTCAATTCTCAGTATAAACAAAACAACTGATGGGATGATTCAGTAAAGCAGTGAACTCTACTCAGACAGCTGGAAGGCCCACATGCCTATCTCATTCATAAAACCTGATTTGCAGAAGGCCCATGGGTTTGCCTCATTCACAAAAACTTACTCAAGGATAGAGTTGCTGAAAGACTATACAGAGCCTAATTTTTCCAGAGTAACATTCCACCTCAATTGGAGAGAACAAGAGGAAAAGCTAGTAAAAAGACTTCCTTAAAGTGAGGCAGGATATGATGGGGAACAAGAAAGAAAAATGTGTTTCATTGGAGCTTGTTAATTCAAGTATATGGTGAAGAAAATGAAGAAAGAAAGAAATGAATTAACTTCAAAACAAAAGAAAGCACAAATACAAAGAAAGTGAAGAAGAAATATTCTCTGGAAACTGGTTAATGAAAAAAGAAATGATAGGATATTCTATGAACTTATTGTAAATAGAGAACCAATAATTATGGAAAGAAAGAACAGCATAAAAATAAATTATACAAGAAGGAAAAGAAAGAAAAAAAATGAAATTTTTTAGTTTACATGAGGAAAAGAACAAGAAACAAACAAATCAGATTTTACTTTAATTACTTCCACCTTGTAGAAATGACAGGACATAAACGTCAAAAAAAAGTTTGTATACATAATAACTAACCAACGATAATAGAAGATAATTAGCTTGTTAATCTTAACACTTTCAGAATGAAACTTCTCTCCTTTAGTCATATTATAAAACCATTTTGCTCTCCATCAGCATGGCTGATGCTAACCTCAAAGAGGGTAACTTATTGTACCTTCTTGGTCTAACATTTTCCACTGATATGAAATATCAACTGCTAGGTCTGCTGCTAGGAAAGTTGGCTCATTGTAGCCTGCTAGACAATTTTTTTCCCCAAAATTTTGCATCTTTATAAATCTACCAATTGTCCATGCATTGAATATTGCAGCCACATCTGATCTGGTGCTTCTGTTATGTATCTAGAGATTCTTGACAAATTCCAAAGAAGAATCTGCATTATTAGCAGTCCTCACCTAGTATCTTGATTTCAGTCATTTTCTCATCAAATTGCTAGATGTAGCCATAAGTTCTATTCCAACTGTTTCTTCTCTTGCATTTCTCCTTTATGGAACTTAATTCTGTCTTCTTGCTTTCCAATCAACTATGATATTAAAAAAATTAAATGCAAGTCCAGTTGACATCTTCTGTGTCCTTGAATCCTTGTTCATTTAGTGTCCTTTCTTCTCAGTAAAGTTGTTCTCAGATTCTTCTTGTGCCTTAATGGTTTTTTTTTTCACCTTGCTTGGGGTAAAATGATTAAAAAAAGAAGAAAGACTGGAATCAGTGAGAAAGACTTGTCTTGACTTGAGGAGGAATTAAGATTGGAAACACATAACAGGTGGGCATGGATGAATTTAGATTGAAGACAGTTGTGGCAATATTTTAACAAAATACATTTCTGATACAAATTATTTTGTTTTACTCTTAAAATTATTATTATTATTAATAGTAGTAGTAGTAGTAGTAATGCTAACTGTTTGTGTATCTGTGTCTATATCTATATCTAATAGAGCTTGTCATCTGTTAAGTCCTGTGATAAATCAAATAGTGTCAGTAAAAGGTCAGTAAATACTGAAAATATACTGGAAAATACATGTCAGTTCTGTGCATGAGATATATATGAACCAATGGAAGAATACTAAGAAGGCAATTGAATGGTTCTATGGCATCACAGATCAGAAAATTTGTATATTTGTACACCTGAATATTATTGACTTTTACTTTTAAGTTTTTGATAGTCATTAATTTAGTAAAGGATTATACACAATTTGACTGATAAACAAATTAAAATTGTCAAGCACTGTCACAGTGTTGGTGTAGGGTGACAGTCTGGATAAAGAAGAGCAAGCATAAATCCTTTAACATCCAAAGTTTATTTTAGCAAAGAAAATAAATTCAGTTTAGATAGCAGTTTGTTCAATAGTGTAAAAAACGACAAATTTAAATCAAAGTCTTCAGGAAACAAGTAAAATTTGCAGCAGAGAGAGAGAGAGTATCATGTGATAGCAGATGTTCTCTGAAAGTGTTTGACTTATGAATTGCTATGATAATACTGATAGTTGCAAATTGCTTTAAATTTCTACCCTCTTATGGTTGAACAAATTTTTTAACAAATGCTAGATCTTTCAAGGATGATAGAATGATGATCCTCAGGAGGTCTAATGATAAGTGGATTGCGATCATTAGAAGGAACCTTGTTTAGGAGGAGGTCAATTTATTGCATGTTGCATTCAATGTCAATAATGTTGTTTACTGCCTATTCAGAAAGCCAGGTAACAACCTGTGTTAAATAAAAATCTCAGTTCACTCATCCACTAAACATTTTTAGGTGGGTGATAAGTAAAAGATAATTATACAGCTGCATTGAAATGGAATGGCTATCCATCTTTTTCGAATTACAAGCAGGACTGGAAAAAAGTGAAGTCTCACCAATGATGTAATATAACATAGTTTAACCCCCTTCCTTCCACCTATCAATTTAAATGATTAACTCCACCCAAAATTCTCAAGTCTGTACAAGGTTTTTTTAGCAAGAACTCTCTTAGAATTGGTTATTGATGCATAAAAATAGGAACAAGATGTTGATAGTTGGTGATGTTAATCATAACTCATAACATGTGTTGACATCAGTGCTCACACTTATATATATATATATATATATATATAGTCGACTCTCCCATCGAATTCAACATATGAGGGTCAAGCATATCAGTTCCCAGGAAACTGACAGCCCAACAACAGCACAAGAGATTTGATTATAGTGGTGGTGAAGGTTTCGTGCAGGACCATCCACACTTTTTGAAGGGCTGAATTCAGAGACCTGGTGCACTACGTGCCACTAGGTCCCCAAACAACCCTCCGCAGGTTTTGAAATTCAGAGTTGTCCTTCTCCTAGACCAGTTGTCATTCAAGGCTATAGAACCCAGTCTGTCCTGCTATTTACCCATAGCTGGAGGGAGAAGATGAGAATTCATACCTTTCCCAGGGGTATTAGCACATAAGTGAATGTAATGGATTCGATTGGAATTTGAACTCGGCTCTGCGATTCCTCAATCCAAGCCGCTATCCATTACTCCACCGTGCCTCCTAAATATATATATATAAGTGTGTGTGTAATTTTTTTATAGTGTAAATACATTTTAATCAAAGTATTTCTAAAGATTGATCCAAAAATCATGCATCATAAAGAATAAATTTAATTTCAATTTTAAATGATTGCTTCTGATTCATATGGAAAATGACAAAAAATCCAGTGTGCTGTATAAATGTGAGGCCTGAGCAAGATGTTTTGCCTTATCCTGTCCAGTTGAAGTCTTTAACCACTGAACCTGACCGATGTGCACTCTTTCTCTTTATGGAAGCAGGTGTCTAGATGTATAAATTATACTTGTTACACAGAATATGATGCCATTCGATTCTGAATCAGTGGATGTCCACAGCTGGTGGTGGTGATACAAGACAACATTTCTTGCTCAGGGTTATTGTATCATTTGTTTAAAGGAGGCAAATGGATGGAAATTATTTGATCTACAGCCAACTTATCAGTTTGCCAGAGAAATAAACTAACTTGATGAACATAAGGAATTGAATACACACACAACTTTCAGTGCAACATTATATATGTATGTACAGTTTATGAAACTTTAATTTTTTGTATGTATGAATATGGGTTTGGACAGACATACACATACATACACACACACACACACACACACACACTAATCTTGGTTTAATATGGCCCAAGGCCATAATAATGAAGTGCCCAGTTAGGATCAAATTTCCCTTTGCTCACAAATTGGTCTGTGAGACTACTTTGCTTACCATATTTAATACATTACATTTATTTTTTATATTTTATGTCTGTACTATCAATAATCATTTGCTGTAGTTGCTATCTCTCTAGAACTGTTGGCACCTGGTGACAGTATCTTCCTTCTGACACTCAGGCAGACTATTCAGTGAGCTTTCCAAAAATGGAATATAAAAAGAATGTCTTTATGCCTATGAATAATAAGTGGGAAAATATATTTAAACATTTATATGTGAAAACATGCTAATAAGAGAAAGGAATTTACAAAATATGCTCTCATTTTTTACAACATGGTTAAACTAGTTATACTATAAAATGTAGCATATTTATACAAGTATTTCAGTTTATGTTATATAAACTGGTAACATAATTGTTGTGTAAGATGTTATCTCTCTTAATATGTCTCTCAATGCTGAAATTTACAACTAAAGGTACACTTATATGTGCAAATATATTTGTGTAACTACATTTTTGTATATGTATAGATAACTAAATAATATAGAGCTTCATCTGAGATGTTTATAAATACTTAAGTTTATGTATGTCTAAAGCTATACATCTTTGTGTGCGTTTGTGTACATGTATCAC